ACAAGCCAGAACTAGGCGCAGTTATCCCCCCTCATGCATAGAAAGGAAAGCAAACTCGTAACTACAAAACTGCAGGTATTCTCGTACGTAAACAACCCTAAAACCTAAGCCCTAAACTCAATTCCTAAACAACACAGGCTCTAAAGCTACCAACACTGCTCAGGCCTGACATGTCAAAGCGCTGCCTGGTCAAGTGCACGCAGGTACTACAGGGTTTAAGGTTTAGGCTTCAGAGAGTTGACTTTGCGAGTTTAGAGTTGCAGATTTTGGAATTCGATCCTTATGAGGGTTTCGGTGACAGAATGCATCCGGTGTGTGGCTTGAAGTTGTTCGGTTAAGTTAGGGATTGAGTTGTCTAGCGGCTTAGGATTGGGCAAGCTTAGGTTCAGGGCTTAAGTTAGACGGTAGAGTTCCGGGCGTTAGGCTTTTGGCTTCTGAACCAAAAAAACATCAACGAACCCTACACCCTCGCTCCAGACTCCGCCGACAAACCAGTTGAACTGCAAACCTAGACCCTAAACCCTAAACCCTCAACCTTAAACCCATAACCCCAGAGCCTCGCAAATCTAGACCCATGCTGACCAGTCAAGACCCAGGAAGAGACAAAAGGCTCGGTAATGCAGGATTTACATCATCAACAGTAAGACCCCAAGCGACTACAGATGGCGGCGCTTCGGGTTTAGGGTTCAGGCGCTTAGGCAACCTGTAAATTGTGTCTGACTCATTCGAAGCAGGATTCGCGGTATAAACCTAATTTAAGCCTGACGTCCCCCATACTCTTGAACCGGCTCTCGACCGTAAACCCCAAGACGTAAGGGCACCCGCGCAAGATTTACAGGATCGCAGACCTTCCGGATAACACATTACATCTGCGGTTTCGGGGGGTGTAGAATTTCAGGTCTAACTCTAAACCTTAAGCCTTAAACCCTAAACCCTAAACCTTAAACCGTGACTTCTGACTGAATCCCTCCGAAAGGTTCAACCAGAACAAGTTTCGACTTACAAGGTGCGACCCGGATCCCTGAGCCGATGCTCGGGATGGCAAGCGAGCGCCTCTGATGTTGAGACCACGGCTGCTGATGCCTCCAAGCCGTCGCTATGACAAATCGCGATCGCGGTGTTAAGATGGCTTATATAAGACGGTTTAAGCTTTGGGGCTTCCAAGGTCCCTCATCCTGAAACACTTAAACCTCAGAAATAACGTGTCGGGATATAAAATGTTAGCGGTTTTCTTGCGCTGGAAAGATTAACTTATGCAGCTGCCTGCAGAAGCTAATGTAGGAATTAAACAGGGTGTTTGAGGTATTTTCTGCTATGTCCACAAGATTTCACAAGGGAAACATCAGGGTGTAAAATTTCATAGTATTGCTGACTGTTCCGACTTCTATATTGCTTAATGACTTGAGCGGGGGATCTTTGGGAAATTCCCGCAGCCTGAAACCGTAAATCCGAAACCATGACCACTGAATTTGTCCGTGAACGTAATTCAATCATTCCCGGCTAGTTCTGGATTGCTTGGGTGCTGAGATGGTTTATGTCCACGGCAATTTTGGGCCTTGCTGTTTCTGTGAATGATCTTCTCACGATGCTAGGAGTTCAACATGGGTTCAGACGCGTCCCTGTTGGGCTGAGTTGCAACAAACACAGCGGACCCTTGCGCGGAAACCAACATGCCTGACATCACCCGACGTTTTTCAAGCCCGAAATTACGCACGTTAAGTCCCCGGACGGCGCCTATCCGGGAGCGGCCGTCGCAGCCTCTCCTGCCAGCCAAGAGCATGCTGTGCCGGGGTTTCAAGGCGACAAGGAGTCCGAGTCCAAGCTTGAAGGGTGTGAAAATTTGTCTTTTCGCTTCTGGTTGCACCAATAGCCCCTCCAGAGTACCCAAACCTTCGGCCGAATATCTCTGCATGGTTAACTCTTTGGATGCAAACCGATGGCTGCCTGAATGCACAAACAAAAGACATCCTCGCAACAAAACCCCGGCCAAAAATGCACATTCTGGCCGTAAACTAAAAACCTGCCGCAAATCATTGGTTACTCTTCCTGTTTACGGCCGGGAGTTCACGTGGGCTTTATGGGCATTCAACGCTTTCTGCTATCAATAACCATAGCAGTGACGTAGAAAGCTTGGGACAACGAACGGCCGGAAATCCCGAACATGGGTCGCAAACCATGCAACACTGACACATGCGTCGCATCATTTTCGAAGCATCAATGTCTAGAACGGCTGCAATTCAACAACTAGCTGTCTCAGAGCTCATTCGGAATCTGTAAATGCAGGGACACTACGACACTACGGATGATGTGACAGAAAGCTATGGCCATTTGCCATGAAACAAATAGGTTTCTTCTGACGGAAGTTGAGGCAAAAACTGCAACCAGCAAAACACTCGCCCAAAACCAAGCGCACATGCCTCAAATAACGAAGATTTCTTGGCACAAATTGGAAATCGCAGCAATCATGAATCCCCAAATGGCAGCAGTGATTAGGAGTCGCGTCTCGGAAACGGGTTGAGTTTTTCCCTTCACTTGGTTCGGTTCTGTGCCTTCTCCGGAGTCACTGAGTCCCGGTGAGCCCCCAAGCAGGCCGCTGGGTGCAGATTCTTCCGCACTCTGGCATTTGCAGGGCCCTATGCACCCGAAACATTGAAAAAACTGCACCAAAACCTTCGCAACACCCCTTGAGCCCCTGTAAACCCTAAACCCTAAACCCTAAACCCTAAACCCTAAACAGTAACCCTAAACCCTAAACCCTAAACACCCTCTGTGAGCCCCGAGCAGGCCTGGGCCGTTTCCGGCCCGTACGCCCCGAAACTCGAAAGAATTTGCACCCCAATCCGCAGGCCCCCTGCCCCCTAGGGTTTCGGGTTTAGGGTTTAGGGTTTAGGGTTTAGGGTTTAGGGTTTAGGGTTTAGGGCAGGCTTCCTTCTTCCACGTTTTGGTGACCAGGATCATATATTAGGGACCCCCAACATGTTCCAGCGACTTCCCAGAGGCTCCAAGGCTCCTTAGCTAAGGCGTAAACCTCACATCATGTAGGTTGAGGCATGTTTAGGATTTAGGGTTTAGGGTTACTCTTTAGGGTTTAGGGTTTAGGGTTTAGGGTTTTGGGTTTAAAGTTTAGGGCTTTGGGTGTAGTGTTTAAGGTTTAGGGTCAAGTGTTGGAGGGAGTCTCTTTGTTGGAAACCTGTATGGGAATGCTTGAAGGAACCCTTTATGGGAAACATGGTTGGGAATCCTTAATTACTCAACCCTAAACCCTAAACCCTAAACCCTAAACGGTAGGAACATGCCGGAACCTTGATAAGAGATCCTATTGCAACGCGTATTGCAAGCAATGAGGGCCGCATAAGGAACCGTGATCTAACGCCCTAAACCCTGGAACCCTAAACCCTGCACCCTACTGAAAAGATCTAAGAGGCCGCCGCACTGTTGCAGGTGTCCTGCAGGTCATGGATTTCTCCTGACGTACGGTTTAGGGTTTACGGTTCAATGGTTTCGGGTTTGGGGTTTAGGGTTCAGGGTTTAGGCCCTAAACCCTTGAACCCTTGTGTAACGCATCCCTTCATCGTCCCTGTATACAGATACTGCAATAACCACAACTCGGTTCAAGTCATTATAGCCGCATAGACTAAACCTTAAACTGCATAGGTCATAAGTTTAGGATTTAAGTTTCAACTATGGTGGGCCCTAAACCCTAAACCCTAAACACAAACCCTAAACCCTGAATTTGATGGCCTTGCAGGCGGCAAGGCAAAGGGTACCGAAGGTTGAGAAATTCCGGGTTCGTAGGATTGGCTTCTGGGCTTTCGAACTTATGGTGGAAGTGCTTCAAGCGCTTAGCGCTTCGGGTTCAGGGTCCAGTTCAGCCTTTAGGGTTTACGACTTGGGGCTGTGGAGGGCCCTAAACCCTAAATCCTTAACCCTAAACCCCTAAACCCCTAAGCCCCAAACCCTAAAGCCCTGAATTGTCAATGCCGAGAATCGGTCGGCTAAGGTTTTGGCGGGGAAGAGGTTGATGGTTTAGGGGTAAACCCTACCGGGACCCTCTAAAACCTACCTTTTGAGGGATCGCTATTCTGATTTCTTTTTTGGAGTCCTTAGAAAAGTAGCTTGTTTGGGGTTAACCCTAAACCCTACGAGGTTGCAAACCTCACCCAAAGGCCCTTAGGGCCTCACGTAGCTAATCATAATTAGGGTTTAGGGTGTAGGGCTTAGGGTTTAGGGTTTAGGGTTCAGGGTTTAGGGCTTAGGGCACTTTAGGCTCTGGGGTTGAAGGTGTTACGGACTTGAAGTACTACAACAAAACTATGAAAAATCCCCAAACACTGGCCGAGCCATTAGGTCCGTTGGACCCGTACATGTTGCACCCCGAAGCTGACGGCAAAGGCGTTCGGAAGAATAGGGTTTCGGGTTTCGGGTTTAGG